GGGAAGTCCCGACTAGCGGGACAGTTTAAAGATCTTCAAGAAAATACTCAGACTCAGACAGAATACATTTCAGGAAAATGTTGGAAACTTCATCGAAGATCTAGAGAAGTTTTTAGGAAAACCTCAGAGTAGTTCTGACGAGAAATTAGTTCTGAGGAGAAATTCAGAGTAGTTCTTAAGAGAATTTCAAAGTTATTCTGAGGAGCATGCTTGGCATACACAGTTTTGGTCACGAACAGCTCAGCACGAATAACTTTGCACACAGTTGACGAAAGATAGTTCTTTTTGAAGCAGTAGATAGAATAGAGTTTAAGCACAGACAAACAGACATAACACTCACAAGTTGTTCATCGAACAAGCATTTAACGGTCAATTTAAAAGTATCGTAGTTGGTAGTACCGCCACCTGTGGTGTGCATAGTCAATTCCCTTGCGTTTGACGTTTACACACTACCGCCATCTGTTCAGCGTACTACCCACCACAGTATACTCAACAGATGGCGGTAATGTTTTAGCGACGATGTTTTACAGTGAGAAATATTCAATGTGTTAGTCTGTGGTTTAAGCGTGTTATAGATACGTTAAAAAAGTGGGTTTTAATTCTAGTTATAAACTTTATTTGTTTCTGCGTTGTAAAAATGAAGTGAGAAATGCTCGCTGTACATCTGGGACTTTGAGTGTAAAAATTCATTGGTGTTGATTCAAATGTTCACCTACTCTTTGCATATCTATAGTAAACTATGATCCTAATCTATCAATTACTTTAAAGAAAAACAAATTTCAACAACTGTGTGTAAAGTTATTAACAAATGAGCAGTTGGTGTGTACAACTGTGCATGCCAAGCATGCTGAGGAGAACTTTAGAGTAGTTCTGAGGTGAATTTCAAAGTAATTCTGAGGAGAGCTTCAGAGTAGTTCTGAGGAAAAGTTCAAAGTAGTTCTGACGAGAAATTCAGAGTAGTTCTGAGGTGACCTTCACAGTAGTTCTGAGGAGAACTTCAGAGTAGTTCTGAAGAGAATTTCAGGCTAGTTCCAAGAACCATAGAGAAGTTCCATTAACCTCAGGAAAATTTCGGGAAATTTATGAAACTCCCCGGGAGCACCCGGAACATATATGGCCAGTGTGATCCTGAGTACTTAATATGGTCACCAATGTTCTTAATTTTGAATTCTCATATAGTTTGGTGTGTCACATAAGGATGTAGGTTCAAGTTTCACTTCTCTGGGGGTATCCGTAATATGTTCGGATCTGGCCAACCTTCAGTACTTAATATGGTCACCAATGATCATATTTTTGAATTATCATGTAATTGGATGTGTCGCATGTGGGTGTTGGTTCAAGAAGAATCTGACCAGTTCCCCGGGGTTACCCTAAATATGTACGGATGCATGGTTCTGATTACATACTACGACCTTGGATGATTATTTGGTTCACGTCTTGAAGGTTCTGGTTAAATCAAAATTACAAAAAATACAACTGAAAATGATGAGCACTTCTCAGGCTGCCGCTTAACCGCAGCGCGTTTTTCCAAAATGTTGAAAAAACGCGTTTTAGTACAATCATAGAGGTAACTTTTTGGCTCAGCTCTGGTACTCTCTTCGGTCCCAAGCTATTCGTTCACCCCTCGAAACATAGGAAAAACCATTAACCCCTCATTTTATCTGTCAAACTTTCATAGCGAATCAAAACAAACATTGCGTAGTACTAGAATTTCGACTAGAATAGGATACGTTAATCGTTTGCTTGGGACCAATAGGCTAGTCAAGTAGTGAGCCAATTTAAAATCGTTAGTTTCGTATTGATTGTTGGTACAATGCCGCTTTTGCCGCAACGCGCTCATTGTGGGTAGTCAAACGGATTCCAGTGTATTGGAAAATTTGCGATTGCCGCTATGCCGCTATCATTGTGTTCAGCCCTTTACAGAGTCGTTACAGAGGCGAATTTTGAAAAGACTGTTTGGGTTAAACAGGATTAGATATACTAAACGATTCACACAAACTACACTACATGAAAGTTTTAATTCAAACTGAACTGCTGGCTCGTGATTTGCGGCAGTACTAGTACTAGATGTTTTTCTCACACCGCCGCAAATCCAGTCCCGTCCGGCATGAGCTCGGTTCTGTCTACTGAACAGCTGACAATCGGGTTCTCGGGAGGAGTGGAAAATCATAATCACCCGAAAACAAATTTTGAAAAGGAAACGAAATTATCGATTGTCACTACCGAATGAGAAGAAATTATCATGGTTGATTTTCTTGAGAGAATTGCTTTGCTTGAACAAAACTATCACGCTCTTTGCTTTATTTTTTCATCCTCTGTACGGGTGAAAAGTGCCGTTTCTCTTCACACATCCGCGATAATTTCGGTCTTTGTTCAAAATCTAAGAATTTCATTTATAATTTTGCTTTAATTCCAAGAAAATTGAGAGAACCTTAAAGAAGTTCTGTTAATCATTATAAGTCATTATAGGCATGGCATTACCAAGCCGGATGCGGCAGGTTCTATTCCTTTCTTTCGGGTGGGAAATGTTTCCGATTTCCCTGTGCATAGAGTATCATTGTGCTTGCCACACAATATAAAAAAAATCCTGCATTGGTATTGGCATCGAAAATTCTCAGTTAATAACTGTGGAAGTGCATTTAGAACACTTCTCAACTTAGAATACGCAATAAGCTTATATGCGAAAAAGAAGAAAGAAGATGAAGCAAAGAACTCCAACGAAGTTATGCATTTTAACGAAATCTTCGAGAACATAGGGATCCAGTGAATTTCTGAAACTTCATAGAAGTTCATAAAATTTTAGGGGAGATCCGAGAACTTCAGGGAAACTCCAAGAACTTCAAGAAAGGTTCATGAACATCAGGAAAAATCGGACACGTTGTAAAAGAAGTTTCGTAAGCTTCAGGGTAGCTTCTAGCGTTGGGGGAACTTCAGGAATGATTATTGCAGTTCCATTAATTTCAGGAAAATATCTGGAAATTTTGAGATGCTCCCAAATTTTCAAGTAGTCCAGAAAATTTCAGAGATGTGAAGGTTATTAATGAAGCTTAATTATTACTAGGCCTGTTCTATTACGTTCAGGGCAGAATTTCAAGGATTTTATGTTAGTTAAATTTCGATAACATGGAAATCACTCAACTTGAAATGTTCTGCATTATGCGAAATTCCGCATAATTCCGTTTCGAGACGAAATAAACGGAATGACTCGATATATCGCATACCCTTAAGAGAGCACTCAATTAATTAATGTGGAAGTGAATCTAGAACACGGTAAAACGCTCGAAAAGAAAAAGAACGCACAGTTATTGCTTAACGAATTCTTCGTTAATTGTCAAAGTGTGTTTTTTCACAGCAACCATCCAAGACTACCCTTGGCAGCCATAAACATAATAATCACGTTCTCTTCATCAACCGATCGGAAGATAATTATCTCATCATTATTACAGACACTTTTCCAGCACTTCTCCGAAGTTTTACCGCACACAATGCTCGTCCCCATTGTGGTTATGCATTCACGTGATGAACAACGGTGAAATGCCACTTTCTACTTTGGACGAAGACGACGATGTTGGTTGATGAAAGGCACAAGTAGCTCTAGCAAACGCGCTCTTTTCCACCATCATCTCATTTCCGGTCAAAATGGTAAACCGGAGCATCGTCGTCGTCGTCGTCGTCGTCGTCGTCGTCGTCGTGGTTGGTCCGATGGCCGGTTGCATATTGCAGCAACAGTCAGTCAATGCAGTCAGCGTAGTGCAATTTTTCACACTCAGGCACGTTCTTTCGTTTGCGATCCATCGGGCCCTGGCACATCGACGACGAACCTGACGTAGGGTAAATATTTAACCTTCTTTCCTTGGCATCAACGAGCAGTGAGAGTGTGTGTGTGTGTGTATCTTTTGCCTTCCACCTCCGTACCATCCTCGGGCGCACGTTTAACTAGTGGGCATCTTTCTATACATATGGTGATCTCGGATCCGGAAGAAACCGGAGCGAATGGAACGATACTTGACCCTTTTTTTGCCTTGCTTGGTGATGACCGTTGTGACACGAGGTGGGTGGGTCAGTGGATTGGGGACTGTGACAGGAAAAAAAAGGTCAACACGTGGTGGGACTGACGGCTCGGTTGTTGCATAATATTTCCTTTCCCAATGGGGAAAATTGAGAAAATGATCGAAAATGTTTCGTTTTATCATCTTCCTTCTCACTTTTCGCTTAGTGGATGTAGTTTTTTTTTTGCTCGATGGAACATGGTGAGCTCGTTAATATTGCACGAACTCAAGTGAGCTGGAGTACTTGTTGCTACTACTTCCAGTGGTGCTTAAGGTTCAAGTGGAATACATATTGGCTAATGGGTAAGTGAGACTGGGTAATCGAGTTTGAATTGATGTTTATGGATTCCGACTGTTAAACACTAACAGTTTGAGAACCACTGTCTACTAATTTTGACAACTTTGGCAGCTGGAAAAAAATATGTAGGCATATCGCTTCCAATTGCTCAATCGATTTTCGTGACCAACACACAATCAGTGCAGCTCAACACGTTTCACCGAGTCGCGTGAATTTTTAAACAGCTTGTTTATTTTTTCATAACACCATAACTTATTGCATCGTTTATCGATTTCCGTTTCAAAACCGACAGACACACAAGCGAGCATCGGAGCAACAGTTCAGAAAATATAATTCAATCCCATCACGAACTGCCAAACCAAGCACGGTCGCCGTTGGCATGATAAGCCAATTCCATAATCGATTCTTGGAACTCACGTGTTGCTGGATCACACACACACACACACACACACTCACTAGAGCTGATAGCCTCGAACTACCGAAGTAAAATCTTGTCCAGTCATTCATGTGTTCAGGGGGGAAGATACCCCATCTGTTGCCGATTTTCCATTTCGTTTCAAGAATTCCCCAGTAAATTTAACTGCCACCATGCTTTGAATACATAATTGATCGACACGTTTACTAACAGCTATCCATTTCCGTTCTCATTCCAGTGGAAGCCCAACGCTCGAAGGAGTCCGATGTCCGTGACTTTTACATCGAATCACTGGAGGAGGCAGTGCCTGCTCACTTGCACCGCCAGCAGCCGGTGGGGCGGTTCTTAGATAGCAATCAACTTTCCAATTCGGTAGCCCGGGCCATGGGCGAGGGGTCCTCCATCGATTACCATCCGCTTCCATCCAACACGTGGATCGACGACCTGGAAGCGGACTGGGCCAGTGGCCAGCATCATCATCATCATCATCAACAACAACAACAACAAGAGCAGCCGGCCACCGGTGAATCGAAGCAACCGTGGCGAACGCGAATCAATAACGCCATCCAGTGGAACTCGATCCAACCGAACATTGAAGCCTACTTCGACGAGGGCGATTCGGATGACCGGGAAGATGAGCGGGGCGGTCCCTTTCTTCCCCGGGACTGTCTGAGCCACGTTTGGAAGCAGGATCTCATGTTCAACGACCGGATGGTCATGAATTGGAGCGTTCCGGTGGCCGCCACGGTCGATGGGCTGTACAGCGAAGAAGTGGACGAACAGGTCGCGATCGATAGTGGGAAGCTTAGTACAAGTAGCAATAGCGGTAGTAGCAGAGATAGTCTAGATGACAATGGCCAACGCAACAGAACTGTCTATTTTAGGTGAGTGAAAATGTTTGCTATCATAAGACAAGAACATGCTCCTCGATCAGGGGCCTCACTGGTGGCCATGTTTTTGATGCCACCATTTGCGCTCGTCCTTCTGCTTCATTTTGTCAAGCTTCTCCATTCATTTTCCATCTGCGGTGACATCTATCGGAAACTACTCACAATTTGTTTTCCGTTAATTGTTCACAGAGAACTGTGCAGTGCAGAACATATCTGGTGCCTCTATATACAGCCATTCCAAAACTTTTAGGAATTTCTGCGGCACACAACTCCTGTGAACTTCAAAGGAAAATTCCAAGGACATTCTAAGGATAATTTCAAAAAGTTTGTGAGAGAAAACAACTTCAATGTCCTGGATTTTTTTTTTCGAAAATACTTAAAGGAGGATTACAATTTTTTTTTTTTTTTATATTAATTTATTTGTACAGGCTCAATCGAATAAACTTTAATGATTAATGTCTTAAATCTAGAGTTAAAGGAATTGAACCGATTACTCGCGGTCGTCTCGAGGTTAGTGGAGATTTACAATTTTTTGGATGGGGAAAGGGAGAAGGAGGTTTGAAATATGATTTATTATACAAATATTTAATTAATCCTAAAACATGAACTTATTTCTATTCATCTTGAAGACAAACATTAAAAAAAAAACCTACACGCCCAATACACAAACTAAACACAAGGTTAATCAAACTTACAATCTAAGGTTAGTATTCTTAAAGTAAACATATATGAGTTTCATAAACTCCAGATCACGTCTAGCCAAAATATCCCGAACTGGAACATTAGGTTGTCTACCTCGAGCCCGAAGGGAATCGCACAGCTCAGATCTGACTCCACGATGCTCAGCACAAGACCAAAGGATGTGATCGGCGTCTTGGTAACCTTGTCCACATTCACAGAGATTGCTGTCTCCCAGCCCAACACGAAACAAGTGAGCGTTTAACGAATAGTGATTGGACATGAGGCGAGACATCAGACGAATGAAGTCTCGACCCACATCCAACCCCTTGAACCAAGGACTCTTCGACACCTTAGGGATGATCGAGAATAGCCATCGTCCCAAACTTCCTTCACTCCATTTATTTTGCCAGCTGGTGAGCGACTGTTGACGATAAATGAAGAAAAATTCATTGTAGGCGATTTGTCGATCGTAAATATCGCCTTGCATAGCGCCCACCTTAGCAAGTGAGTCAGCCATCTCATTGCCCGGAATCGAGCAATGAGATGGGACCCATGCAAAGGTGATGACAAAAGATCTTAAAGATAAAGCACTTAAAAGCTCTCGTATTTTCATGAGAAAATACGAGGAGTGCTTTACCGGCCTCATAGAGCGAATAGCCTCGACAGAACTGAGACTATCCGTAAAAATAAAATAATGATCTGGTGCAAGTGAGCCGATCATTTCTAGCGTATAATATATTGCCGCCAGTTCAGCAACATATACGGAACAAGGAGCTTGAAGCATTCGAGAGGCGCTATGAAATTCGTTAAAAATACCAAAACCAGCGGACGACTCTATTAGTGATCCATCTGTGAAGAACGATCTTGCGGAATCAACTTGGCCAAACTTTGCAGCGTAAATTGACGGAACAATCATGGAACGATGATGTTCTGGGATTCCACGAATCTCCCGCGTCATAGATAAATCAAAACTAACTGAATTGCCGAAGTCGGAGAAGCATACACGATGGGGATTATGCTGTGAAGGGCTGACATCCTGAGTTATGTACACGTAGTACAATGACATAAAACGAGTTTGAGGGTTTAGCTCAAGAAGCTTCTCAAAGTTTTCGATTACCAGTGGGTTCATAACTTCACAACGGGTGAGGAGCCTAAGGGACAATTCCGAAAACCGATCCGATAGTGGCAACATGCCCGCCAACACTTCGAGACTCATCGTATGAGTCGAGTGCATGCATCCTAACGCGATACGAAGACAACGATACTGGATACGTTCCAGTTTGATGATGTGAGTTTTAGCCGCCGACTGGAAGCAAAAACTACCGTACTCTAAAACCGATAAAATCGTTGTCCGGTACAACGTTAGAAGATCTTGCGGATGAGCTCCCCACCACGTTCCGGTAATTGTTCGGAGAAAATTGATCCTTTGTTGGCATTTTCGTCTCAGATACTCAATGTGGGATCTCCAGGTGCATTTGGAATCGAACCAGACCCCAAGATATTTGAAAGACATGGAATGAGTGATCGGCTTACCCAAAAGTTGAAGCTTCGGTTGTGCTGGGCTATGCTTCCTAGAAAAAACGACCAACTCAGTTTTCTCCGTGGAGAATTCGATACCTAGCTGGATAGCCCAAGTAGACAAATTGTCTAAGGTATCCTGTAAGGGTCCTTGCAGGTTGACCCCTTTGGGCCCTGTCATAGACACTACGCCATCATCTGCAAGTTGTCTCAACGTGCAGTTGTCACTTAGACAATTGTCAATTTCTCTGACATAGAAATTGTACAAAAGGGGGCTTAAACATGTGCCCTGGGGGAGAGCCATGTAACTAAATCGAGAAGCTGTAGAGTGAGGATTACAATTAAATCTGTAAATCTGTAAATCAGTAGAGTTTTCCAAACAAATTATGAGAAGAAATCCAAAGAATTTGTGAGGAGAAATGCCAATGAATTCTTAGGAGACTTTCAATGTGAGTAGAATTTCAATGAAAGGAGTGAGATTCAAAAGGAAATCGGAAATGAAATCATTGAATATTCTGATAATCTTTCCAAAGGGTGTCTTATTGTGGAGAATTATCTACTTAAACTTAAACATTCAATGGATATGATTATAAAGTTGTTTCTTTAAAACTGATTGCCATGCCTTAAAAATGTTTGGATTGATTACTGTTGTTTTTGATCTTCCAGAAAAGCATATGTTGAACGCATTTCAAAATAGCTTTTTTATTATAAGCCTGGAATTTATCCGTTAAAGTTCTGGAAAAACCTGGAATTTCATTTAGAAAAATGAGTAGACACCCTGTTGATAAAGCAAGACGATTAAACGGCACAAAGCAAAGAATGATAAATCGTGAAATAAATTCTTGCTCAAAAAGTTGAAAATAGTGACTGATTACAAGAAAAAGTGACTTTAGTGACTTGACCTTAAAAAAGAAGACTGTTTAGTGACTGGCTTGAAAAAATTGACCAAGTCACTAAAAAGTGACTCGCTACCAGTAGTGTTGTTCCTTATCGCAAAATATTAGACCCGTATTTTCTCGGTTTGGCGATATACTATATATATGGCGATATCTGTCTGTCTGTCTGTCTGTCTGTCTGTCTGTCTGTCTGTCTGTCTGTCTGTCTGTCTGTCTGTTTTTTTTTTTTTTTTTTTTTGGCAAGGAGGAAACCTTCAAAAAAGCCATCGTGCCACCGCTTGACGACTGGGCGCACAGTCGCGGTGACACGGTGTGTGGGATTCTTACCGCACTAAAACCTCCTTAGACGCCTTGCCCTTTTTCCTCCGGAACCACTTGTCGTATTACTTCGGAGGGGGCCGTGCATTACGCACCTCACTTTACCTCAGCTAATTGGCGCTTCCAGTTCGCTGATCGTCTCTCCAATTTGTGAGCCATTTAGCTCCCAGCGTCACGTTCTACTCGGTTATCCCTGGTGGTGGATACAGCCAACTCTGACGGAGAGTTCTCCTGGCTTCGGCTTTCAGTTCGCACTTGTGTGAGCACATTACTACTTTCTAGTTGGTCTTCCCGCCATTTTCGCTGCAGCGCTGACATGATCTGCGTTACTGCTCTGCTGACGGCGTTAAAGGTGCCCTCCTCTCGACACATTTCTTCGACGACATTCTCCGTGCTAAGGGCGAGCATATCCTCTCGCACATCATCAAATCTAGGACATTCGAAGACCACGTGCTCTGGTGATTCTTCCACATTCCCACACTCCGGACAGAACCGAACCGATGCAGGTACTTTCTGAAGCAGCCATGACCAGACAGGAACTGCGTCAAGTGGAAGTTGACTTCTCCATGCTTCCTGTTCACCCAGGTCGAAAGAGTCGGTATTAGCCTGTGTGTCCATCTACCGTTCTCTGCTGCATCCCACTCCTGCTGCCACTTAGCCATCGACTCCGTTCTCACCATTTTTCGTACTCCTCTGGTTTCTCTCGTCATATAGCACTCGTAGTCCTCCGCCAAGGTGATGCCGATTGGGATCATACCGGCGATAACGCATACTGCCTCCATCGAAATGGTTCTGTACGCACTCACGACTCGCATGGCCATGAGCCGGAACGTACTGCTCAATTTCCTTTGGTTCTGCTTCGTTTTCAGCGCTTCAATCCAGGCTGGACCTCCGTACCTTAATATTGATGAGGAAACACTAGCCAGAAGACGTCTCTTGCTGCTGCTTGGACCAGAATTGTTCGGCATGATTCTGGCTATTGCGTTGATGACCTTCGTCGCCTTCTCGTAAGCATATTCGATGTGGCTATTAAAGTTTAGCCGGTCGTCGATCATCACTCCCAGATACTTAAGCATGCGCTTCGAAGCAATGGTGTGCTCTCCAACGGTAATTTCTGCCCGCTGCACTGCTTTGCAGTTACTGACCAACATCACTTCTGTTTTGTGGTGGGCTATCTGCAGCTTCGCTCCTTGCATCCAGTTACCAATCGTATCTATCGCCTCAGCCGCCAACATTTCCACTTCTTCCAGCGTCTCACCGGTTACCGTCAAGACGACATCGTCCGCAAAGCCAACGATCTCAACTCCTTTGGGCAGCTTGAGCGTCAGCACGCCATTGTACATTCCGTTCCACAGCGTGGGACCTAGAATGGAGCCTTGGGGAACCCCCGCCGTGATTCTAAGCGATTTCTGCCCCGTGTCTGTCACGTAGACAAGGACCCGGTTCTGGAAATAACTACTTAGAATCCTTGTCTGTCTGTCTGTCTGTCTGTCTGTCTGTCTGTCTGTCTGTCTGTCTGTCTGTCTGTCTGTCTGTCTGTCTGTCTGTCTGTCTGTCTGTCTGTCTGTCTGTCTGTCTGTC